TCATTTCTAATATATATATATATGTGGTATCAGATTGATCTAATTTCTGTGCACTGAGGACAAGCAAGTCCTAGGTTACAAACTGAACTCTCCAATGCAAGAACAAGATGCATTTCTTCCTTTAGGAGGTGCTATTGTCACAAGAAAATAAAAAGGTTTCAGTTTTGTTTTTGCATGTGGGTGGGTATCCTGTTTGTCATAACTGTTTGGATACACTCTATTTTTAATAGGCTAGTTGTGATGATTTCATGCCAAGTAAAAATGTCCATAGTCATATTTTATGTTCCTAAAGTAACAGATGAATAAAATATTTTATTCATCATGTTAAAATAAAATGTTCCATAATCAATTTCTTTTCTTTTTTCAATTTTTCAGAAAAAAACAAAAAAGGCTTCAGGAAAAAACCTGTTTTTTTCCGAATTTTTCCCGTTTTTTTTCCGGGCCTTCACATCTCTAACCCCGCCCTTCACTACCCAAGGGAGTCTCAGAGCAGCTTACAAACTCCTTTCCCTTCCCCTCCCCACAACAGACACCCCGTGAGGTAGGTGGGGCTGACAGAGCTCTTTCCAGTACTGTCATTGAGAGAACAGCTCTGACAGAACTATGGCTTGCCCAAGGTCATCCAGCCAGGTGCGAGTGGAGGAGTGGGGAATCAAACCCGGTCCCCCCAGATTAGAGTCTGCGCACTTAACCACGACACCAAAGTGGTTTAGGGATGGGCTGTCCCCTCAGCATGTGCCAAACAGCTCCCCTGCTCAGGCATCTGGGAATGGAAGGCAACCACTGGGCCGGCCGGGTGTGGTGGTGGTGGTGCTGAGGCTGGTTTTCCAGAACAACCACGTCTCTCGTTTTTGCCAGGCTCCCAGGAGCACATAGATCCTGTCTTCCCAATGAAATCGCATCATTTGTGCTGGGAGAGGGGGAGTGCTACCTTTGGGCGAGCCTGAAGAAGTGAAGGGCAAAGGCTATAAAGCCAGCCTGGCAAACGCAGACCGGCACGTTGGTTCTTCAGGTGGGGAGTCCAGGGGGCATAATCCCCATGGTGGGAAAGGAAAGAAACAACAAAGAGGTCACTGATCGTTTGCTGTGCTTTAATGCAAGCAGGATCTGGACCTGGGGCCTGCTGGGTGGTGGTAGGATGGCACGCTTGCTGCTTGCTGCCCTTCTTGGCAGAATGGCTTCTTCCACTCCTGGCCCCAACCCTGGGCCAGGAAAGGCACTGTGCTGAGGCCAGCTGGTCGCCACAGATACCCTTCACGGGAAGCTGGATGTGCAGTCCAAAAGCAAGCCGAGAAACAGAGCCGAAGGTCAGAAAGCCGGGAAATCAGTCAGAGTTTTGAGGAACGAGGAGCAGAGGCTGACAGCCGGGATCAGGTCCCTAGCACACAGGTTGCTTCCATGCTGAAGCAGGTGAGCGGGGGTGTTTATGACCATGAAGTGTAGTGGGTTAAATGCATGAAGAAACCACTGAGACTGATGTAGTGATCAGCATGGTACACCACAAGACAAAGACTAACGACCGGCTGGCCAACTATATACACACCTGGGGATACACCCCTAGGTCCCGTTGGTGGGTTTAAATCTCCCGCCATGGTCCCATTGGTTCCCCCAGTGGAGGGACTAGGAGCCTAGTCCCCATTGTTCTTCCAGAGTCAAGCTCTGGGGTATTCGCTGGCCCCTGGTGGCGGTCAGCGGACACAACAGACCAGGTCCTCCCTTCCCTGGGAGTCAATCTGCAAAGACTCACCGCCCCTCACGTTGCCTTTGCAACAGCTGCAGTCTGGCACTCTTCCTTCTCTCTTGCACATTCAGAGGCTGGCATGCCCTGCCTCTGGGACAATCAGGTGAGCTGGGTGGGGAGTCTGGCCTTGGGGTGTCTCCAGCTGGGGGTGCTGGGCCAGGCTCTCCCTCTGGCTGCACCTCAGTCTCTTCGCCTAGCTGCCCCTCCTGTGCAGTTGCTGGGGCCTCTTCTCCCTCGGGTGCTGGTAAAGTCTCCTCTTCTGGGTTGCTCCATGCCTCTTCCTCATCTGAGGAATAGTCAGCCTCAGCGGAGCCAGGACCCATGACAGACACCCTGTGCCTGTTGGTTCTTCCTACCTCCTTACCACTCGACCTCAGCATTGGCATGAAGACCAATCTGTGTCGCTTAGGAGCTTCTGTAAAGCTAGTCTTTGGGAGGAGAGAGAGGACATCTTTGTGATACCCTTCACTGGAAGCTGGATATGCAGTCCTAACGCAAGCCGAGAAACAGAGCCGAATGTCAGAAAGCCGTGAAATCAGTCAGAGTTTTGAGGAGCAGAGGCTGACAGCCGGGATCAGGTCCCCAGCACACACGTTGCTTCCATGCTGAAGCAGGTGAGCGGGGGGTGTTTATGACCAGGTCCTCCCTTCCCTGGGAGTCAACCTGCAAAGACTCACAACCCCTCACGTTGCCTTTGCAACAGCTGCAGCCTGGCACTCTTCCTTCTCTCTTGCACATTCAGAAGCTTGCATGCCCTGCATCTGGGACAATCAGGTGAGCTAGGCGGGGATTCTGGCCTCGGGGTGTCTCCAGCTGGGGGTGCTGGGCCAGGCTCTCCCTCTGGCTGCACCTCAGTCTCTTCGCCTTGCTGCCCCTCCTGTGCAACTGCTGGGGCCTCTTCTCCCTCGGGTGCTGGCAAAGGTTCCTCTTCCTCCTCCAGAGGAGGCTGGGTTGCTCCATGCCTCTTCCTCCTCTGAGGAATAGTCAGCCTCAGCGGAGCCAGGACCCATGACAGACACCATGTGCCTGTTGGTTCTTTCTACCTCCTTACCACTCGACCTCAGCATTGGCATTAATACCAATCTGTGTAGCTTTTTGTTGTTCAGTCGCACAGTCGAGTCCGACTCTCCGCGACCCCATGGACCAGATCATGCCAAGCCTTCCTGTCTTCCGCCGTCCTCTGAAGTTGGCTCAATTTCATGTTCGTTGCATCTATGACACTGTCTAACCACCTCATCCTTTGCCATCCCCGTCTTCTTTGGCCTTCAATCTTTCCCAGCATCAGGGTCTTCTTCTCCAGTGAGTGCTCCCTTCTCATTAGGTGGCCAAAGTATTGGAGCTTCAGTTTCATTATCTGGCCTTCCAGGGAACAGTCAGGGTCGATTTCTTTTAGGATTGACTGCTTAGTAGCTTCTGTAAAGCTAGTCTTTGGGAGGAGAGAGAGCACATCTTTGTGAAAATATCTCTATGCCCATGTTCGGCAGGGCACCTTGCAGGGCTTTCTGCTTGTAGCACACGCCACGGTCTCTCTGGGCTGCATCCACTGATCTCTGCCTTCCCCTCCACGTGGCATGTCCTGCCCGCAGTGAGAATGGCTAGAAAACCCTCAGGTTGGAGGCTGGCCTTGAATCCAGATGGCCACAGCAAACGAATCCTCTGAGAAAACCCAGGCAAACACCTGCACAATAATCTCAGGGCAGCAAGGATGAATTCCTCTCTTTGATTCCCAGCACGAGTTACTGAAATGAGCCCAAGGGCAAGAAAGCATTTGAGTCATTCGGTTGGGGCAACCTGGAAGCTCCTCTCCATCTGCCAGACCTTCTCCAGCATCCTACTCCAATAACTTCCCTTCCCAAATCCAAATTATTAAAAGAGCAAATTGGAACAAATGACTTGAAAACCCACATTTAAACATGAGATGGGGATATTTGGTTAATACAGCAGAGTTTTGCCCGGTCATAGAAGCATGATCCTGAGTGCAGGAAATAAATCTGCCAAGGAGAATGTTGCAAAAAAAAGGTCAACTGACATTTATTTAAGTAGATCCAGTTCACATTCGGGTTGCAGTCAGAAGAAGAGAAAGAGGCCTAATCTAAAGAGTGCTTTCCCTATCACAAATGGCCACCTGGTCTAGCATCATGTGTGTGTGAGAATGAGGGCATTGTCTCTATGGGAGAGACATGCAGAGACATGTGTCTCCATGGAAGACCATGTAAAGTGAGAGGGAGAACAAAGTGAGACAGAGGAGGGGTCATGGGTCAGACTCCTGGACAAAGTTACTCTCAACAACACTCTCTATGGCAGTGATTTGTTTATTGAGAAATAAGCATGTTCCAGGGCAGATCAGTACTGTGTAAGAACTGAGGTTCTGGTGGGAGAATCCAAAGATTCAAACAAAGCCCCCTCTTCAATTACATCCAATCACACTCCACAAGCTTCCCACCTAGCCTTTGCACTTTCTACACCCCCACCTGTGAATATAGGATTTATCTATGATATAGAAGCAAATACAGTTTGGCTCCAAGGTCGTCCTTGTACAAGGGAGGTATCTTAGAAAGAGTTACATCGCCTACCACAGAGCAGTTCACACACTCAGCCACTCACACACACCCTCAGGAATTTCACTCCCTCTACAAGTCCCAAATCATGGCAAACCAGCTGGCTGACAGGAGGAAATCCCCTCCAATGGCAGCACGGAGCGACTGTCCCTACATCACCCAGAAATGATGTAGGCACGTCGGTGATGGGGGGAGGGG